TAAAGAATAAAAATAGGAAAGTCATGTATGCGACAGAAAAAGACAGTGTATCACTGTTGTCTTTTTCTGCGTTATTGTGTTTACGAAGTAACGAGGGCACTTCTCCGTCTCATCGTATCCCCTCCAGATGTAATCCGGTACGCCTCCAGTCCTCAGTCATCACATCTCTTCCACATCTTAATTCCTTCCTTTTTTTACACTAAGTTTATTGTAGATATAACAAGAACAGTGTTGCCAGGTGCATGGTAATTACCAAAATCTACAATTTGGATTTTAACTAGTAGTTATTAATGGAGCCTCTAATAATGGCATAATACACGATAATTTTTTGGAAACGTCACTTTTTTTATAAAATTATTTACACCTTGAGAAATAACTAAAATCGTTTCATATAAAGTGCATAATATACAATGAATACTGTTCCATTTTACTAACTGCGATGAACATTTGGCGACATCTAGTTAGTTGTAGGGCCGCATACGAGATTTTGTTCATGCAGCTCCACTCATTTATTTTATAATTATAAAATAAATGCTACACTGCACAAAAAATGAGAGCTCTCTTTCTGCAGTGAGTGCAGGCTGCACGCAGTGCTACATGTCGGCGCATTTTTTTAAAGGTTAACGTAATTTAATCAAAACCAAGAAGATCAAACCTATAACCAAACATCAATTATTAATGAGGAACATAGTAAATGGTATTTTATTAAGTACAGAATGCGTGAGAAAATCATAAAATTCCATAATATTATACAAAAATGTAAACGAAAATGATAATATAATTTCTGAAGTCGAACTTGACAGCCAATTGTTATTATTTGAAAAGCATCTATTCAATATACTTACTTGTAACTGTTTTACTTCTGTTTATTATTTTTTTTTAAATACAGTTTTTGAATATTGACGTATTATTTGAAGTATCTGGTAATTTTTCATTAAATCTGGTAATTTCATTCTTACTTTCCGATAATCACACTTTCACAATCTGCCAACACTGCAATAAACAATTTTGTGATTACGTAGTAAGTTGTTCTCACGTTGTTGTTGTCCCATTTCTTTTATTATTGCGTCAGCCGTTATCGTGGTAAGTTAAACTGGCATTTCGCCTTGACTTAAAAATATATGTTTATACAACTGAAGAACAAATGCAAATGATCAAGTGGTATTATGGCGGTAACACTGCTGAGGGAGTTCTTGGGCGATTCATTTCTACATTTGAAAATCGTCCTGCCGCGATGGTTCAAACGATATTAAACATCATTCATAAGTTTGAGACTGTGGATGTACGACAAATTGCAGAAAATGTAGTCATTTAAATGACGATGACGAGCCTACAGTTTACTTAAGGGAAGATCGGGAAAGGCGGGAAACCAATGTCTGTAGTTTCGCCAAAGTAAATGCACCTTGTTCGAGTAGACAAATCTCGCAAGAAGTTGGTGTACAAGAGCGAACAGTGCGGAATATTTTGAAAAGAAATAAGTAGCACTGCTACAAAATTATGACTACCCAAGAAATTTTTCCTGAAGACCGTACGAAACGAATGGATTTTTGTGGAACCATGATGGAAAGTGCTAATGAAAACGAAAATGTCATCAAGAATATTTTATTCACTGATGAAACATCCTTTTTCATACATGGCTGGCATAATCCTTCTGTAGTTCGATATTGCTCCAGGGAAAATAAACATTTGAATGTGCATTACGTAATCAATATTCACAGAAAGTAAATGTTTGAGTCGGCATTTTAGGTAGTCATGTATTTTCATTGACGGTAACTTAAATGCCAACATTTTGCAGAATCAGATTATTCCGGCTGTTCAAGCTCTTGACGTCAACTTCGGGGAGATTTGGTACCAGCAAGATGGCTGTCCTGCTCATAATGCAAGAAGAGTGCAAGAGTGTTTAGATAACACTTTTCCCAATCGTATTATAAGAGGAAGAGGCACAATAAAATCACCACCAAGATCCCCCCGACTTGGCGCCTAACGATTTTTTCTTTGTGGGGATATGCAATCTCGCATAAACATGAACACGAGCGAGCGCGCGAATTGCAAGAGTTACTTGCTGATATTATTGCCATCCTACAGAGTGTGACTCCTGACATGCTTTTAAATGTCAGAAACGAATTTTATCATCCTGTTTAGTCTGCAAACGACTGCGGTTGAGATCTGTTGCATATTTTTTTATTTCTTTTATTGCTATTGCATTACGTAGTTTTAATGGTTTTGTCATCATGTCGAGTGCAGTATATGATGTTTTGTGTCTTGTGGAGAAACAAATCAGTATTACCGTCACATCAAATGTTTCAACCCATTTCAAGAGTCTTCTATGACAAATAGAAGAGAACGGTGCAGATGATTGGCAGCAATGTAAAACTAATTTACGGTTACATTTTTGACTTCTAAATATAACCTTAGTATGTAAACCTTCCATTAGTGTCATTCACTCCAACAAAATTCAGATTGTCCACTGCCTACTCTAATTCAAGGACTTTTGAAATGGAATAAATGTATGTTTTTTAGTTCAATGTGTAAACAATAATTTCATCGTACTCTGTACCGTAGGGTTGTATTTGTGAAATGAATATTTCTGCTAATCAAATTTGATAGTATTAAATAAACTTAAATAGATTTATATGTTTAAGTTTTAATGCCCACGTAAAGCTAATTATGTCATTGATCACTATGATTTGGCATTCATTCATAGAGTGGTAATATAAATAAATTTCTGTCTGGATCAATAATAAATTGTTTACAGCAGTATATAAAGTAGAATTACAAAAGGATTCAATACCTAACATATCACAATCATTTATTGCCACCTATAATTATTATATGTTTGTAGCATTCGAATAAGTTTTTATTTTCATTATTGCAAATTTTTTTTTACCTAAAATTGATGATACAGTGATTTCAGCAGATGTTGAATATAAGGATAAATTACTTAGTACCGAACTTGGATATTTATTTTCGGAGGGTATTAATTGCTAGGAAGGCTTTTTGGGAAAGAATAAAATTACATACAGGATAATGAATTTTTTTTTTGGTACAATGTACTTCGGTAATGATTTGGTAACAGCAAGTTTCTTGATTTAGTATCATGACTAGGGAGAGGAAATTGGACAAGAATCTAGGACCGGTAGCTAATATCGCCTCATGGTTGACAGAAGGACATGCGTAGATAAATGAAATTAAAGGTATAAAATGAATGATGCATTCATGGCTGTTCAATTTGAGCAATTTGGTCTGTATATGTGTCTGTAAAATGAAAATTAATGTTCCACATATACCGAGGTTAATGGTGAAAATTCTAAATAGTTCACCTGGGCAGTCAGAAGTGATGGGATTAATCAACATTACGATACGATAATCGAATTAATAGATTATTTCAATATCTCGAGATAATCGATTATGACTTCTAAGAATTAGTGGTACTGATATTAGTAGTTAAGAAAGTTACTTGTACACAATTATTGCACGATAAATGCGGCAGCGTTCGAATCGATTATTTTCTCGATTTCTAAGTTAGAACCCTTTATCGATGAACACAATAAAGTACAAAGTAGTTAATTACTTAGTTGCAACAACATAGTACAGCAAACACACAGATTTCAGATTTTATACAGCAAACCAAATACAATAATTGGCGAAACGCAGCACTTTTTTTATAAGTAGCTACATACTTAGTGTGAAATAATTTAAAAATAATAGTTTATGTTTTAAAGAAGCAGTTTTTGCCTACCTATTTGTAATGTAAAGTAAATAAAACGATATTTATTAGAAATAAATGTACCAAACATAATAAAAAAATTGCAAATAACTTTTTGTATCTCAAATTAGCGAACCATATGCCAAATACCCCTCCGCGAAAGTAACTCTACGCACGCGGTCTTGTTGCTGACTGAGGGACGTATTACATTCATATATTACGGCTTCCGCCTCAATAATGATTGCCGAGTTGGTTGCATATATTACAGTTGTATAAATTGACGCATACATATCAATTATATATCAATTAATTCAATTATATGAAGGCATTTTAAAAAAATAGTATCTTTTTATATAACTTCCGGCTCTGAAAAATGGCATATATTTCCGCTGCTTAATTATGACTACGGTTTTGTTGATTAGTTGAGAACATTACAAAGCTCAATTAAGTACACCATAATGCAAGTGTGAATGAAAATTTGCATAGTACAATCTTAGCAGTGTTTTAGCATACGCTTCGCATAACTTTGTACATAATACGTCAAGATGTAGAAGTAACTTGTATGTCGTTGTCCTCGAAAAGACGAACCACATTCATATTATGTAGCATTTTGAATAATACAAAATTTGCTTTACTTCTATTTAATTGCAAACAGTTTTTTCTGACCATAACATTACATTTTGATTTACACATTTTGCAATAATTTTAAGAGCGTCTAGATTATTTTCTACTATTAAAATATTAGCGTCATCGGTATAGCAAATAGTATTAATTGTTGGAGATTTCTTGCTCAGACAACTAATTATATAATTTACAAAAAACTAGAAACAGCAATGGTCCACAAACTGAACCTTGTAGTACACCTTGATTGGTATCGCAACTAGTACTTGTTACGTTATTATTTATTTTAATTATACTCTACCATTTAAGTAGGAAGTTAAAATATTTAACACAATAGCCCTAATTCTATATATGTCAATAATTTTGCTAATAAAGAGTCATGATTAACATTATCAAAGAAGTGAGAATTCTATAAACAAACCTAAAATTTACATTCCTTTTCTCAACGCCATATTTATATTAATGCCCTGGCGGAGTTTAGCACATTACTATTCCACCACTGAACTAGGACAGGCACACACAACAACCATTCCCTGCGACATTTGCCAGATGCCGCAGCTAAGACTTAAACTCAGGAGAGATAGACAGTGGCTAGTCGTATTCCGCCCGACAACAACCGCGTTAGCCAACTGTGCTACTGTTTCGGTATTTCTAAAATGCTACTATACGTCCATGTCCTAGCAAGGATTCGAACCCAGGACACCTAGGTCTCAAGCCTAACGTGTAAGTACTGAACCACTGAGACGAAGGTCGGCTTTTATTAATTTATTATATAAGGCAATAACAATTATATTTCGGAAACCACATACTGTCTCTGTAATCTTATTTTAAATAAAACCATGCTGAGACGATGAAAGTATATCGTTTTGGTAAAATAAGGTGGTTGATTGTTTTTGTATTTAATTTAAAAATTATTTTTATTAGCTAACAAATATGTAATGTGTATATCGTATTTTAAACATTATACGTTAAAATCTAGTTGATTAACAGAAAATAAAATCACTTAACTACAGGTTCGTTTCGCAGTAAAATTTCGTTATTAGTTCATCCCTCTACAGACCTAATACTTTTATCCAATCATACCTTTGGCTAATATAATTTCATGAAAACAGGTTTCCTGCATTTGCAGGATTAAAAACTAAGCAAACAGTGTAACGAGTAAACATACTCAACATAATTTCAACTAATGTATGGAACTTATTTACATACCCATAATCGTTTAGTTGGTCGTGATATATATGTTATGTAAAGTTATTCATTGCTTTTGACGGATTTTAAGTTATTTCATTATTTAAATTCAAACTAATAGATTGCTTTCCAAAATGAAAATAATATGATGAATACAGGAAATTTAGAATTGTCTATTTCTACAGAAATAGAAAATAATACCAAAATGTGCATATAAAAAGTTTTTTCTCCAATCTTCTGGTACATTTTTTGACCGTGGAAAATACAGCTTTATTCGTCTAGTCCGGAAAATGACAAGGGATCGAAAGATACTTTCCGATGCCTTATGTCACTTTTAGTTAACAGTAGTAGGGTAGATATAACTATTAAAACCATGAAACATATAAACTTTCTCATTCCTTTTCTTTTGGATTAGAGTTTGGATTAGATATTTTTTTTCCGATCCATTTTTTTTATTAGTGTTGACCACAGTATATTTTTATGGGGTTGGATGCAATTTTGACAAATGTTTTATTTTAAGTTTCACGACAAATAATTTATGTTATGAAGTCAGTTTAATAATTTTTCAGGTTAGTAATTTTTTCTGGTTTTTAAATTAAAATAAAGTAAGCAGTAGTAAGACACTATTCTCTGCAACTTCAGAGTGTTTCTGAGATGTTTCTTCCACCTTCATGATGAAGTACTCATCAAAAATAGGATACACTTGTTTTTTGTTGTCAAATTCTGATTTTAGGTGGAGTATGGGCCCTAATGAGGGCGTCAAAATTTTGTTATTTCTGAAGAGCCCCATGACAGATTTTGGTATCTCGCATAACGTCTTACCAAGACAATGCACGTGTTCAAAAGCGAAACGTTTAAAATGTTTGTTTTAAATTAAAAATGTTCGAAATGTCCGCCAGCATAACACAATATGTTTCTACATGTTTTGTCGAACATGGTGAAAAATGTACGAAATATTTCGATTTCTTTACATTCATTTACAATTAGTTGTTGGAAAAGCTGTGCTCAGCTAAACTAGAAAGTATGCCTTTAATATGTAACAATTAAATTAGAAAACGAATAGTACACATGATTAAAAAGTACACAGAATAAACAATATAGAATAGTATTAATAGTGTTACCTAATTCTAAAGATACAACAAATTCAATAAATTCCTGGATACACGAGAAAGAATTTTGTATGAGTATATTTTCTAAGCCACATTTAAATTTGATTGTAGAGAGATTTTTCACGTTAGTGGGCAATATATTATAATAAGTTGACACAGCAAGATAAGTGTACCTTTTATAAAAAACTGTGATAAAATTTATTAATGTGGACATTGTAATCGTATCAAATAGGGTATGCATGTACCTCACTACTTTTTGGAAAAATTGATATGTTATGGACAAACGTTAGAAGATCTAAGATAGGTATGTATCGAAGCAAATGTTAGTAAATTAAATTTCTTGAATGCACTCCTGTATGACACATAGTTCCAAACTTATTATAAATCTTAAAATCTGTTTCTGCTGGATAAATACTCCGTGAATGCCGGTTGCCTGGCTACAAAATACTATTTTATATGACAAAATGGAGTAGACTATTATATATTTAATATAGTGGATTCATTCAGTGAAGAATCAGTGACAAAATAAGAGTTATTCAGCCAGGCACACACATACTCAATGTAATCACTCCATATGGTAAATCTAACAAGGTAAGTGTCTACAAATTATATGATATGACACATTGTTAAATTTGTATTGTTTATGTTAAAATTTATATTATCTGAATTTACTCTAAATCTGTTAGTAAATTAAGCAAGTAATTAAATGATTTCCTTGACGCCAATCAAAAAATTGTGCAAAATTTGAATCACTTGGTACTTAACTTAATCAAGGCACTTACCACACATAAGCATATTGGTATCATCTGCACGCAGAAATAACCAACTTTAAAGTTGGGGCTGAAAGAAATCAACCAGTCATTCACGACTTCCGTAATACATTTACCGTCTAATTCTTTAGCTAGAATTTCCGGATTTAGGGTATAACATAAAAAAATACCCTACAACAATTTCGCCCACGTTCAAGCTTTCATTAATATACTGAGTAATCTCAGTGGTTGATGATTGCGTAGAAAGTCCCTCACGAATTTCATTCTGGCAATTTGATAGGGGGTTGTTTTTATTTATGACTGCTTGATTGACAATTGGCATTACCAAAGATCTTTAATACATTGAATTATTATTTTCATTAGGAGAGTAAACATTTATACAATTTATTAAATCTTTAATTTTTAAAAATTTTCAGAAATCTGAGAGATTGTCTTAAAAAATTCAAGGACACTACTGGTGGTTTCACATAAACCAAATTAATCAGTAAATTACAATTAATTTTGGAAATTGGAACATTGCACTCAAGAAGTTTGGAATGAAAACATTTAGAGAAAAAATCTTAATTAATAGTAATATTTCATTTTAGTAAGTAACTGATTTCATAAACATGGAAATGATTTTCATTAATAAAAAAAGCAATAATATTTTACAAAGCAAATTTTCGGACCAATTAAAAGCTATAATCAATGGGGAATTCAAGTCCTGTTGAATTAATTGACAAACTTAATTTGTCTTTTAAATTAAGAAGTTAATGTTTGTTAACAAAAGCAGATAATTAAGCTTTCATATTTAATGAAGCAAGACGTAATATTCCTTCACTGACTGTGTTCATATTATCACCATAAATTTTCTACCAAATTAAATTAAGTTTGTACAACACGCCCCGACAATAACTCAAACGTTTCTATTAATTAGATGAACAATTAAGAAATCGGTTTTATGTGTATTCCAAACTCAAGCTAATTTAAAGAGTACATTTTAGGACCGAAAAGTTTTTTAATTATATATACTGGCTGTTGGAAACTGGTTAACTTAATAAGTGTGACATAAAATTTTTAATCAGTAAAAATGGGGCAAAGTTTAATTTAAATATTTATCATTTTTCTTGCGAAAAGCGAAGATATTTAAAAATGAAATATTACTAAAATTTTATTGAAGTGTTAGAAGTGCTTAGAGATAAACATCTAAGTATTAAAGATGATATTTTACAAGTTGTTGGCTGTTAAAGTAGAAATTATTTCTTCAATAAAAAACAGAAAAAACTTTATTTCCCATTTTTATTTTTTGAGGACTTCCAGCCAGGTATATGGACAATTATTTATCCCACGTTTCGGCCGAGTTTTCGAACTTTTTCAAAGGTTAAAAGCTAAAAATAATGGTTGTACATAAGTTTTAAATTAGATTAATGACAGAATACATATCTAAAAAAGTGTTTTCTTACCTAATATAAATTTTCTATTTTAATTTCATTATATGGGCTGGTTTTATTTTTTTTTGTTTGGTAGGTATGTGTTGTAGTTTGACGAGTTAGACAGAGAATGATCAGTATTTGGTGTCGTCGTTGTGTGTTCTTTTTAAGAGTAGGTAATTATAACAGCTGATAGTATACTTATATTGATGGTCCGAGTGACAGAGTTATTGTAAACATTCTCATGATATTGGATAGCCGTTGAGAAGAGATTTTGCAGTTAGCACATATACAGGATGTATAAAAATTGTTACTATTGAATAAGATTGCGATATATGCTACTGACTTTCTATATCTGTTTGATAATATACTGTTTTTTTGTTATTTTGTATTTCGGCCATTTCCAAAAACATGCGTTTTTTGGAATTTCTTTCTTTATGCAGTATGGTTGTATCCGGAAAGTTAAAATTGTGTGAATTATTTATGGCGTGTTCAGTTAATGCTGTGCTACATGAATTAGGAGTTGCTATGGAATTTCTAATTGATAATTTATGCTGATTTATATGTTTATTTAATTATTGTTGGGTTTCTCCAATGTAGCACCTATCGCAATCTGAGCAATCAATTTTATAAATAACATGGGTTTGATTTAATTTCTCTATTGGATCTTTTAGTTTTGAATATAATTTATATTTTATGCTATTATCATTTCTGTATGCTAATTGTATGTTATATTTACCTAATTCTTTCTGAACTTTTTCTGATACTTGTGGTATGTATGGTGCCGATATGTATATTTTGTCTCCATTTGGATTGTTTTGATTTTTGTCCTGGTTTGTGTTGTTAAATATGGGTCCAAAGCAGTTAGGTTGTAAACCTATGTCAACTACATTTTTATTGCTTTATTATCTGTATTCTCTTTTGAATATACTTATTCATAAAAGGTGGCGGGTAAAAGTTATTTAAAAGAATGTTTTTGATTTTAATTATGTTTTCTTTGTGAAACAGTTTATCTGATAGTAAAATGGCCCTGTCCACGAGGCTGTTTATAACGATAATTTTGTATTTATTACTAGTTTTTGATTGGAAGTTGGTATATCGTCCCGAACTTATACTTTTTTGATATCAATTAGTTTTAATTCTACTGGTAGATCTAATTAAAGTCAGGTTTAAGAAGTTTATTTTATTTTCATTTTCTGTTTCTAATGTGTATTTTATTTTTTTGTGTTGTTCATTGAATTTCTGTAATATGTACTGTATCTCATTTTT